TCATCGGCTCAACCTAACTCATGTATGGATCGTTATTTAAAGAAATCGTACCGGGAACAAATGAAGATTTATGACAATCAGGTGAAGATGTTATAGTTAGTGTCTAAATTGCAGCCCAACATCCAATTACCTACGATTGCTCGTCCAGAACTAGTTGACCTAGACGATCCTCTGCCTCCTTCAGATGATGACAGTCCTGATGATGATTCAGCTGTCGGTAATGCTGCAAAATTAGACGAATAGTTCCGTTATATGTTCTATTTTATTTTTCACTTTATTTAGACTTTTATATTTTTTTGAACATTATATATGCACTTCATGTAGTATTCATAATATATTTTATAAATTTATTTAGATTTACTATTTTTAATATTAATTTATATTTCACTTTTAATGTATCTTAATAAATTATATTGAGTATGACATAATAACGTTTAATTAAAATTATTAAAAATTAATTAATTTCCATTTTTTAAAAAATTGAAAAAAAAATTTAATTCAGTTTTTTGCGACGACTTTTTTATACGCGTCGTCGCAAAAAAGGAAGATTATTTACGATGACATTTTGAAATTTGTCGTCGCAAAAAATATTATATCACGAGAATTTCAGAACGGCGTATTAGCGACGCTTGTCATCGCAAAAAAAATATGTCGTCGCAAATATATTTGCGACGACACTGTGGCGTCACAAAAAAAGTTTTTGCGACTAATTTTTTACGACGATATATCTGCGACGACATGTCGTCGCGAAAACGATTATTTGCGACGACACTGGGGTTTTTGCGACGACTTTTTGTCGTCACAAAACCCCCTTTTTCTTGTAGTGCATGTTCAAAATGATGGGTTACAACACTATTGTTCCGATTGAAATAAAAGAATTATGAGGACAGATTTTGTACTTGGAAGTGCTCCGGTCTTAGATACGTACGTTTATGGACCAAACTTGAAATTCCTCCTGTTAGGTATTTTTATTAGTTGGCAATTTATTAGTAAACTTGTAAAAATTCAAAAAACAGATTCAAGAAGATTTCGTATTGTAAAAGAAGATTCAGAATAAGATTTAAGTTAAAGTTGCAGATTTTGTTGAGTTGAGATTTGGAGAGATAAGGATAAGACCCTGGTCAAAGGAAGATAAGGCATTGGTTATTTGAATTTAAATGAGATTCTAGAAAGAGATAAGGATCAAAGAGATTATGCAGAGATTTTATTGTGATGATTATCCAGTTTTTGGCTTTTAGTTGGATTCGAATTTGAATTGAATTTGAATTGTAATGAAAGATTGATTTGACAAGAGAAAAATCCATATATATATATATTAGACATTTGAAATTTGGGTGATGTTTGAAATTCAAAGTGACTTGGCATTTTTTGACAATTTTGTAAAAATTCAAAAAATAAGTTTAAGAAGATTTACATAACTTTGCTACTACCTCATAAATGGTAGTTAAAATATACACCTTGCAAAAGTGGGTCCAAACTTTTAAATAATACAAGTGGAGGCCAGTCATCATCATAAAAGTCATGATAAGTTCGTTTGTGTTGAAATTTGAAAGTAATTAAATGGATCATTGATGAGATTTTAGAAAGAGATAAGAATAAAAAAGATTATGCAGAAATTTTATTGTGATGATTATCCAATTTTTGACTTTTGGTTGGATTCGAATTTGAATTGTAATGAAAGATTGATTTGGCAAGAGAAAAATCCATATATATATATATAAATATATATTGGGCATTTGGAATTTGGGTGATCGTTTGAAATTCAAAGTGACTTGGCATTTTTTGACAATTTTATAAAAATTTAAAAAATAGATTCAAAAAAGATTTACATAACTTTGCTACTACCTCATAAATGGTAGTTAAAATATACACCTTGCAAAAGGGGGTCCAAACTTTTAAATAATACAAGTGGAGGCCAGTCATCATCATAGAAGTCATGATAAGTTCGTTTGACAAACGGACAGTTAAAACTTGAAAATAATTAAATGGATCATTGATGAGGAGGTTAGGTTTTTCTTGGGGTTTTACCATTAAAAGTCATGATATATTACGTGCCTAGTTATAGTAACAACAGTATTAGTACCATATAACAATAACACATTTTGGTCATGGCATGACTTTTTCTTTCACGTTAAGCTAAAGTCATGGGCAGTTGGCACCTACAAGTACTTAGTAAATTACATTAAAGACTTTCATCAAATTACATTAAATTACATTAAGTATAGGTCGCATAGCCTTAATTGATCACCCACCTTACTGGGACAACTCGTCAGTACCAGCACGATATGTTGTTTTTCTGTTTGTAATTAAAACCATATTTATGATATACTCGATCCTGGTGATAAGTCAGAAAAATAAAAAAATAAAATATTTAAAAATATTTAAGAGTTGGTATAAGAAACACCATTTAACGTATATAGCAAGGCCAAAACCAGCTAATTACGTTTTGAACTTTGCTTTCGTACGTTATTTTTGTTAAAATTGCTTTCTTCGCCAGATCTTAAACCCATATTATAATAGACAGGGAAAAAAGATAATGTGAAAAGAGTGAAGTACGTAAGATAGAGCTATTGCATGATGTTCAAAAAGTTGGATGATCCTTGGTGATCCTTTGCGGCATTCAAACACCAAGCTATATAGTAGTGTAATTCGTTAGTAATTATATGTTAATGATCTGGCGAAAAAAGTCAGATAGAAATTAGTCAATTAATTAAATAATGAAGATCACAATTTGTACCGATAATTAAATATCCATTAGGTCATGAGCGGTTTTCCAGCATAGCTAACAATGAAAACCTCACGTCAAAACCAATTGAAAAAAAAAAAAAAAAAAAAAAAAAAAAATTAGCCACAGTTTTTTTTTTTTTTTTTTTTTTTAAATGTCCGAAACCATATTTTTAAAAGAGTTAAATGGATCAAAAGTTAAAAAAAAAAAATTAAAAGTTGATTTTCTCCAAATCAAATCAATTTAATTGATTCTAAACAGTTTTTAAATAAACTGAACTTTCCCAAAACATATCAATAACTGCCATTCAAACTTCAATCAGATCAATCACCAAAATAATATCAACACCAAAAATTAATCCAATCCGAAATTCCCAACAAAAAGGGTTTTAAAATTTTTTAATAAACAATTAAAATGCTATATTTATAATGTCTTATGAAAACTTTTGTGCAAGTTTCAAAGTAATATATTTTAGAAGGCTTTTTTTTTTTTTTTTTTGGTAAAGTTATATTTTTTGGCTTGACTGAAGCTCTTTTAGAGAGTCAAAACTCTTTTCATAGATCATTCGCATTTCAAGAACAATTTTTGGTCCTATAAAGTCGAACTCCAAAACCTCATTGTCGGTTGTGTCATTGCTGCATGCGTTTATCAACCTTTCAAGCTTTTCAAATTACAATTAAATAAAAAAAAATCGCTAATCGTGAATACAGAAAGCAAAAGAAAATGATAATGTTTTTTTTTTAAATAAAAAAAGGGCTTGTTTTTGTTTTAGCAAAAAGGAAAAAAACTCTATAAAGCTCAATTTTCGCTGTCTTTTATTTTCAAAAGGAAACAACAAAATTAAACGCAAGCCAATTTTCCAGTGTACTAATTCTACCTACAAGCCAACAATCATAAGATAAAATCAATTCAGAAAGAATAATGACTAGAAGATAAAAGTTATAAAGTTTTATTACAGGTGGCTTGTACCAAACATTTTACTCTTATGACTTGAGTGTAGATTTTAAGTTGAGTTTGAGTTGAAGTTGTAACTTGAGTTTGTGCTTGGTTGAGTAAACTTGAGTTATAATTTGAGATTAAAAATTTACTTGAGTTTGTGTTTGTTTCAACTAATTCTTAAGTTGTGAATAGTATCCTGAAATTTTTTTTTTCTTTCATTTAATTGATTTTATGTAATTTAATTTGAATAAATAAAACTGAATCATCTATAAGTAGTAATAAATTTAAAAACAACGTAGTCATTTTCTTCATTTAATAAATTAAAATATCATATAAAAATTTACTAGAAGATGAGTTGCCATTATAAATGGAGAGCAAATAGTCACAATATATACATAATTAATATCGCAATTCTCCATACACTATTATTAGCGCGTACGACGATTACGGTACACTGCACACATTGTATGCGCTCTTGCATCCCTTAACGCATTCATCTCCAGTTCTGCATTATAATTCAATGGTTGTCCTTCGTGGTTGTTATTGTCATTGATATCTTCTTCAGCATTATGTGGATCAATGTCAACAACCGGAACGCCATCTTGTGAGTACTGCTCCAATAGTCTATCTCCATTACGGTACATGTGGATAAAATTATCGACTACAACACATGCAACCAGAACCTTAACTTGCTTTTCAATGGGGTAATGGTTAATGCTTTTCAAAATACGAAATCTGGCCTTCCACAC